TATCATGCTGGTCCTACACCCACGTGTGGCTGTTAAAAATCAGGAGGGATATCTCATCTGTGGAGGTACCCCCTGAAGAGCGAGGGGTCCCAGCCCCACACTAGGCTCCCTGGCCTGGGGTTCCAGTGCTGGGAAGAGAAGTCTCCACAACTTCTGGCTGTGAAAATCAGCAGGGATTGTGGCTGAGTGAGACAGAGGGGAGCTGGAGTCCCAGGCACTTTTCTTAAAGGGACTGTGCCTGACTTACTCACTGATGGACTCATTTGCTCTGAGCTCCAGCATAGGGGAAGCAGCTTGAAAGGTGCCAGGGACATACTGAGAGGAACTGAATTGTCTGGATTTGGGGTGAGGGCTGGAGGGGCAGCTTTCTTCCAGACAGAAGTACCGGAGACACCAGTGTTCCTTTGTTGAGCCCTCCCCTCATCCAGTGTGCAGACACAGGTAACCACCATATCTGAGTCTCATTCAACCTGGCTAACACCATTCTCCCTGCCCTGGTGATTCCCAGAAATTCCACCCCACCCAACTTTCAGGCCCACCCAAGATGCATCCAGTGGCTTTTCCATAAAAACAGCCAGTCTTGGCTCATGCTGTGGAGTTTTCTAAAATCTCTGAGTCACAGACCCAAATAAGCAGCATCTAGACTCCGTGTGCCCTGTACGTCTTGCTAAGCATCCCCAAGCCTGGCACTAGTGACAGCCAGCCTTGGTTTGCAGCTTAGTGTTTCCTAGCCACCTCCAAGCCCAGTGCAGGTGGCTGCCATCTGCCAATTACTCTGCAGCTCATTTCAGTTAGCCCAAGGCAGGGCATAAGCTACAGCTGAACTTGGCCTGTGGTGGGGCCTCTCCCAGGAGGCTCAAGGAACCAGCTCACACGATGGCCTGCTTCTGACTGAGCACCAACTGGCTGTGAGGACAACACACCCAAAAGGCAAACTGGGCAGACACCAAAGCCCGGATACAGCAAATCCTGCTCCATAAGGTCAGCCCCTGCACCACAGCTCCACCACTGTATTCATGCCCAGTCCTCACAGCCAATCAGCCTTAGAGTCAGTCCTTCCCACTGATATGAAAATAGAAACCAAGGCTCGACTACAACAGGAGGACACACACATCCCACATAAGGGACACACCTACAGCACCCGGTTCAGGTGACCAGGGAGGCTGCACCACTGGGCCCCACAGCACACCTACTACATAAAGCCACTCTACTAAGACCGGGAGACATAGCAGCCCTACCTAATACATAGAAAAAAACACGGGGAGGCAGCCAAAATGGGAAGACTAAGAAATATGTCCCAAATGAAAGAAAAGAACAAAGCTCCAGAAAAAGAACTAAACAAAATGGAGACAAGCAATCTAAAAGATGCAGAGTTCAAAACACTGGTTATAAGGATGCTCAATTATCTCAGTGAGAACTTAAAGAAGATCAAATCAGAGATTTAGAATATAAGGTAACAGAAAACACCCAATCAGAACAGCAAAAAGAAAAAGAAATACAAAAATGAAGATAGTTTAAGGGGCCTTTGGGACAACATCAAGTGTACCAACATTTGTATCTTAAGGGTACTAGAAGAAGAACCGAGTCTGGGTGGTGAACACACAATGCAATATATAGGTTATGTATTATAGAAATATGACCTTGAAACCTATATAATTTTACTAACCAATGTCACCCTAATAAATTTAATAAGAGAAAAAAAAAAGGAGACAAGAGAAAGAATTGAAAACCTATTTAAGGAAATAATGACTGAAAACTTCCCTAACCTGTCAAAGGAAACAGACATATAAGCCCAAGCAGGAGAGTCCCAAACACAATAAACTCAAAGAGGTCCACATCAAGACACATTATAATTAAAATGCCAAAGGCTAAAGACAAAGAGAGAATCTTAAAAGCAGCAAGAGAAAAGCAGTTAATTACCTACAAGGGAGCTCCCATAAGACCCTAACCTGATTTCTCAACAGAAACTTTGCAGGCAGAAGGGACAGGCACAAAATATTCCATGTGGTGAAAAGCAAGGACCTACAACCAAGATTGCTCTACCCAGCAAAACTATCATTTAGAATTGAAGGACAGATAAAGAGCTTCCCAGACAAAAAAAAAAAAAGCTAACAGAGCTCATTATCACCAAACCAGTATTATAAGAAATATTAAAGGGATGTCTTTATTGAGAAGAAAATATATCTTTTTTTTTAATTAAAAGTTTATTGGGGTAACAATTGTTAGTAAAGTTATATAGGTTTCAGGTGTACAATTCTGTAATACATCATCTATATATCACATTGTGTGTTCACCACCCAGAGTCAGTTCTCTTTCCATCAGCATATATTTGATCCCCTTTACTCTCATCTACCATCCTCTTCCCCCCTTACCCTCTGGTAACCACTAAACTATTGTCTGTGTCTATGAGCTTTTGTTTATTTGTCTTTTTCCTTTGAAAAAATATCAAAAATATAAATAATAAAATGGCAATAACTACATATTTATCAACAATTACTTTAAATGTAAATGGAGTAAACGTTCCAATCAAAAGACGTAGCATGGCTGAATGGATAAGAAAACAAGACTCTTACATATGCTACTCACTTCAGATTGAAACACATACACAGACTGAAAGTAAAGGGATAGAAGAAGATATTTCTTGAAAATGAAAACAAACAAAAAAACTGGAGTAGCAATACTTATACCATACAAAATAGACTTTAAAGCAAAGACTATCACAAGAGACCAAGGAGGATCCACTAATCCTACTTCTGAGTATTTATCTGAAGAAATTCAAAACACTATTTTGAAGGGACATGTACATCCATATGTTCATTGCAACATTATTTCCAGTAGCCAAGATACAGAGGGAACTTGAGTGTCCATCAATGGATGAATGGATAAAGAAAAGGTGGTACATATATACAATATTATTGTATGAATATTATTCAGCCATAAAAAAGATTGAAATCTTGCCATTTACAACAACATGGATGGACCTAGAGGGTATTGTGCTGAGTGGAGTAAGGCAGACAGAGAAAAACCGATACCATATGATTTCACTTATATGTAAAATCTAAAGGACAAAATAAACAAACAAACAAAACAGAAATAAACTCATAGATACAGAGAATATTTTTATGGTTTCCAGATCAAAAGGGTGTTGGGGGGGATGGGTAAAAAGGTGAAGAGATTAAGAAGTACAAATTGGTTGTTACAAAGCAGTCATGGGGATGTAAAATATAGCATAAGGAATATAGTCAATAATATTATAATAACTATGTATGGTGTCAGATGGGTACTAGATTTATCAGGGTTATCACCTCATAAGTTATATAAATGTCTAATCACTATGTTGTACACCTGAAACTAATATAACATTGTATATGTCAACTGTAAATGAAAATTTTTTTTAATTATTAGAAAAAGACAAAAATGAACAAAAACCAAATTGTTGCCAAAATAAATTTCAGATCACATCAATAGATTTAAATAATTAAGCAAAAATTGTAATTGAAATTATAAATAGGCTCTTGGATTGTTTTATAATACAATTAATGGAGAATAATCAATTGTTTGAGCTCATTAGAAAAATATTTACATTTTTGGCTGACCTTTCATGAAGTGCAGACATCAATAAAGGAAGCATATAATTTGAGAGAAGGTGCTAACAGTGGTGGTATACAGTTTAAACATCTAAATCCCCTCCTAGACTAGTAAGCTCAGGGAGGACAACACAACATTACTTGCTAAATAAGGAAAACTGGAAGGCAGAAATGAAGGAAGGCAAAAAGGGAGGAAGAAAGAAAGGAAGGAAGGAAGGAAGGAAGGGAGGGAGGGAGGGAGGGAGGAAGAAGAGGGAAGTAAGCAGCTTCTATGTAACATAGGGAAGCTCTCTGCTGGTTGTAGTATTTCTACCCTAATATGGATATTTTGTAGAACTCCACCCACTTCCAGGGCGGGAGTTATTTTTGTGATAACTTACTTGTTTTTCTGTTAAAGAGAAAGCATTGGCAGAATAAATTCACATTGTAAGGCTTTTGTTACATGATGTCAAGGATTTGTGAAATAACACGAAGGAATCAAAAAAGCTAGAAAAATCCAAGTAGAGATTATAGACTAGTTGTAAATTCTTTCTCTCTTTCATTTTCCTCCTTCCCTACACAGTGATCCTGATCATATATTTTTTAAAACCTAATATCAGAAGGAAAAAAAAGAAAACTATTAAATTCATTCTCAGTAAAGTATAAAAGATTAATAAAGCATAAATAGTTACTTTTATATAGTTCCCAGAGGCTGTAACATTTGGAAATGTAGATAGCCTTAAGTTAAAAAACTCAGTTGGCATTTCAATTTTGTGGATGCCATTTTGATAATAAAATCATTCCGTATTGCCAAATAAAACAACCAAAGTTTCAGGTCTCGAAAGCAATTATCAAGCACTAAGTGTAGCAGGCATTTTCTCTCTATCCCTGTCACCACTCTATTTTTATCTCTTCCTGAGCTCATCAGAGAGCTCATGCCAAGAAACCACTTTACCCTGGGAAAGTGACCGCATATTCTTTGAGAAACAGCAATCAATGAACAAATACTGATGGGAGTTACGCACTCTGGAAAATGGATTATTTGGACAAACTAGACACAAAGTATATTGCCTAGATGGAGAGACGTTCCTTATCTATTCCCTAGGAAAATGCGCCTTTTATACTTAAGACAAAGCCTAGGGCAAAAGTTCTATACCGATGATGGCCAGCAAAAAGGAAATGGTTTCTCGAGCCATTTTCGTAGGCCCAATTGCTTACCTGGCAGCCCACGGGAGAGTATATTAAGCCGCCGCTCCGCCCTGTTCCTGCACCAAGCCGAGCCCACACACAGGCCTAGGATGTTGCAGCATCTATAATGGGGCGTCGTAAAAGTGCATCTTTATGTCCTCCTCGTCGGGACTCTATGGTTCCTATGCGGGTAGATGGGCAATGCATATAAGGCGCATGCGCCCGGGTTGAGCATGCGTCTTTCTCTTCGACGCACCGGCCTACTGACTGGTGTGGCCATGGGCCGCCGCCCGGCTCGCTGTTACCGGTATTGTAAGAACAAGCCGTACCCGAAGTCTCGCTTCTGCCGAGGTGTCCCTGATGCCAAGATCCGCATCTTTGATCTGGGTCGAAAGAAGGCAAAAGTGGATGAGTTCCCGCTCTGTGGCCACATGGTGTCTGATGAATATGAGCAGCTCTCCTCTGAAGCCCTGGAGGCCGCCCGAATTTGTGCCAACAAGTACATGGTGAAAAGTTGTGGCAAAGATGGCTTTCACATCAGAGTGAGGCTCCATCCCTTCCATGTCATTCGCATCAACAAGATGTTGTCCTGTGCTGGGGCCGACAGGCTCCAGACCGGTATGCGAGGCGCCTTTGGGAAGCCTCAGGGGACGGTGGCCCGAGTCCGCATTGGCCAAGTCATCATGTCCATCCGCACCAAGCTTCAAAACAAGGAGCATGTGATTGAAGCTTTACGCAGAGCCAAGTTCAAGTTCCCTGGCCGCCAGAAGATCCATATCTCCAAGAAGTGGGGCTTTACCAAGTTTAATGCTGATGAATTTGAAAACAAAATGGCTAAGAAGCGCCTCATCCCGGATGGTTGTGGAGTCAAGTACATCGCTAATCGAGGCCCGCTGGACAAGTGGCGCGTTCTGCACGCCTGAGGTCTTCGACAGCACTGACGCCTTTGGCCACGCTGGTATGACTTACTGCTTGTGAATATAATTTACTTACTGGCAAAATATATCTCTTTTTAATATCTTAAACATTTTTTTAATTGTATCCAAGTTTTAGAATATAGATCATTAGAGAAATAATTTTCGTATTAATACCAGGAAAAGTTTTAATGGTAAATAATACTTTTCCTTTCACGTGAGAATGAAACAATTTGCATGCCGTTTATAGAGAAAACTACTGCAACTCTAACCAAAACACTTTTAACTTGGGAGAGTGTGCAGAAATACGTCAAAAGTTTTGTTTGTAGGAAAGTCACAATTATGCAGCTATCATGATCTTGAAAAAAAAATAGCTAGAGAAAATCCAAGATTTGCAGAGAAAAACAATCCTTATTGTTTATAGAAAATAAACAATAGGGATGAAAATAAGGGTAGGCATTAGTGATATTTCAACTACAATGTCTTTGAAATTTAAAAAAGTTTATTGTTAAACTTGTTGCTTAGGTTTTCTTTATAAATTTCTGCACATTGTTTTTAGAATTACCTATCACCTTCAATTATCAGCCTTCAGACAATTGGGTATCACTGCGGTAGGTTTTCCCAGACAAGCCTTACATTGTCTCACACTCAGGAGACAACAGTGCAATCTTTTCTTCATCACAGAAAGGTCATAGGTTGACAACAAAGTTCATATTGCTTGAATCTGAGTCCCAGTAGAACCAACAGAAAAGAGGAAATGACACAAAATCAGCTAGCTGTCTGTGCTCTAAAGAGACCCTAGAGAGAGCTTGCAATCTGTAGGTGCTTGCCCTACATTAGTTACACTGATCACACGCATGTTTTTTGTTGTTGTTGTCGTGTTTTACTTTAGAAACTATAAATAAGCTAAAATTCTGGGACTATACTACATTTTTAAATTCCAGTTCTTTAACTTATTTAGTCTTCCAAAATTCAATGCTGCCAAAGGGCATTAAATGTTCTTAAACTAACCACTCATTTCGGAGACAGTATATTGAATGAAAGCAACAAAAGGAGTATCATATAGTATAGAAACATTTAAAAAATTGTTTCTATTTACTTAAAAAAATTGTCAGTACTAAAAATTTGCATCTTATTTCATATTTCTTTCAGGCTCTTTCTATCTTTTCTAGTTGTATATGTTTAAGCTAAGTTGCTGTTTTAAGTTATAATAGTTTTCATATTACATATAAAATAAGAATGACAAATACTAAACAATACAATTATATAGAAAGGGTTCTTCAGCCTAAGAAGCACATTCCTTGACATGTTTTATTGATGCTTTGAAACTCCTGAAATTTTCTAGGAATTCAAATCCTATGTAATTCATAAATGAGGATAGAACTGAGCCAGATCTACTGACTCCTGTCCAGTCCTGTTTACTTTACCACACTGTCTTTCAAAAACAAAAACTCAACCTCAAAAAAATCAAAATGCAAAACACAACACACATGCAAAATACTCATTTAAAATAAAAGTACAAGTACAGTTAACTAAATTCAAGCAAATATCACCCTATAAAACTCTGAATTAGTTGCTGGAGTCTCCAGGTTTTATGGAAAATACTGACCGAATCAGTTAGAAGACAATGAAAACTTCAATTAGAGCATGAAACTGTATCAATTTAGTTTTGAAAAGCACATTCCACAAATGATCATTATATATAATTTGCCATTTCTACCCCCTCAAAATATGGAAATATATTAAGCATATTTATCCTGAAATCTTTAATTAGTATAAAAATAGACACTAGATCTGGCCTGAATTGGCTGTCACTGACATTGGCAGGCAATTGATTTCCACTTTAGCAGCTTTGTACTGCCTACCCTGACATAATTCAAGTAGGGCTTTCTGGATCTTAAAGTGTCATGATTGACTAAAGGATTCAGCTGAGAGATCATTTAGCCCCAGTCATCTCCTGCCTTTATATTAATGACATAGGTTTTTTATTTTCTTTTAATAGAGTAATAACTTCATTGTTGTCATTAAAATACTTATACTCTTTTTTTAAGTAAGTCGTACAGAAAATGAGCAAAGTCAAAAGTGAGTTAAATTACACCATCAATAATAATGTGAAGTGAGGTCATCATTATGCTTAACAGTGGAAAATACGGGAAGCCCTGGCATCAGGATGACTGTATTTGAATCTGTTTCTTAACTTATTTGGGCTAATTAATTAGTACTCCCATTCTTTATTTTTCAACTATAAAATGGGATTAAGACACTATGATTATAAAATCATTTTTAGAATTAAATGAGATAATTCACTGAAAACATGAATAGCATTGTGCCTTGCACAAGTTAAATACACAAAGTTAATGTTAACTTATCACAGTTAATATCGATGTTATTGTTATTACATTTGCTCCTGCCTCACTGCTTCTCAGCTTCTAATTTTTGTTGCTAGTAATTTTTTTCATAATTTATGACCTTAATATTTTGTTTTGCTACCATAATTTTCTCCAATTGTATAACCTTGAGTTCTAGATTTAATTGGATTCAGTATTCTGATTCAATTTTTTGTTCTTTTTTATCTTTAATTTTGTAATTTCCATTTTCATATTATTCTACATTCTCATCTATTGTTGGAGCTCCTTTTGAAAAGTGTAATTGTGTTTTACAATTGACATTTACCTCTATATATATAATTAACCTTTACATATGACTCACTTATGAAGAAGATTTGCTTTATTTCCTTTTTCCCCAAAACAGGATTTTTTATCAATTTTACCCACATTCTTCATTTAATATTTATTTCTTCCTTCATTTCCTCTTCCTTTTTCTCATTTTTTTCAAAAGAATGATTATGTGGTTGTCATGTCATTTATTTTCATATTGCTTATATGTGATACAGACTGTTCTACCCAGATATTCTATTTAATCTGAAAGATTGTAGGTGAATTTCTCTGGTCAGACATTCACAAAGTTTTGGTTATTTTTTGTTCATTTAGTCTTGTCTCTGGGTTCTATAGTTTGAGGGCTGGATATTGCTATCTATCAACTTTTCCAAAGCCTCAAGATGAGAAGATAGGAAAAGGAGAGTACTTGAAGGGTTACTTATGGCCTTTGATGGATGCTGGATTATAATTCTTCTGAGATCCCACTAAATACCCTACACCAAGTCCCACTCCTCTCACTTAGGTATGCAGTCCACCCTTCTCAGGGGGTGTATTTCTTATCCTTGCCCTGCTGTTATTCAGTGCAGAACCTCGGAAAATGGCAAACTCAATTCCTGAGGATCTTTGTTGGTACTTGGGGCACCACTTGTCAGTGGATGTCCTTGTGTAACTACTTATCACTCAGTATTTTTCTCTCCCTATTAGGGCACTAGTGAAACATTTTAAAATATCATATTTCTTCAGGAATGCTTCTAAGAGTTGGCGTTTTGAAGAGGTGCATTTCATAAATGATCATTATATAACCCATTATATTTCATTGTCCCTCAAAATATGGAATTATACTAAAACTAACCAGAAGGCTTTAGTTAAAAGAGCTCTGGACTATCGCATGAGACTACTGTCTTCATTTTATGTCTTCTTCTTCTCTCCTTAATTTATGATATACATATGACATGGCCCTTTGGTGTTTATGGCTGTATTTCTTTATAAATATTTAATAGATATTTAAATAATTATTGGAGAAGGAGATTCTGTTATCCTGTTTTACTTAAGTTTATTCACCCAGGAGCCCTCTTAATGACATACTAAAAAATTATCTATTCTGGAAATTTTAACTTTAAAACAATTCATGTAAAAATATGCTTCCACATGTTTGTAACACCTTCTAGTTACCTTTGACTAGTGTGCATTTCAAATAATTATAACTAAAATTACTGTGATTATCAAAATGAAGTTTTAACATAAATTCTAAAAATAACAATTTTATGTTTGTGTCCATACACAGCCTTGACAATTTGTATTATGTGTTAAATACCTAATCAATTGATTCTGCATATTTAATGACATAGTTTTAATAGGCTTTTATGAGGTACTGATCAAGAGATATTTTTGTGCTCCAAATATTTAAAGAATAAGACTATATTTGCTGTAGAAACTCTTGTATTTTGAGAGTTATATTAAACTCTTTAAGGGACCTATTCATGAAAATCCCCATTGTCCCAAGTTGACTGATAAAGAGAAATAGATGAGGTTGTGGAGGAGGATGGTATGTTTGGGGCAAATGCAGTGTTCTTACAGGAGCAACTATTCCTTCCTCTCCCTGGGTGGGTGGGTGGGGGGAACAGAACATCGGATTATTAGGAAAGGGTGGTTTTCTTTTGCTTGAATGTTAATGAGTGATTGAACAAAAGCAGCAACAGAAAATCAGAGCTGCTGGTGGAAACAGAAAAGAGATGGCAGGATTGAGATGGAGCGTGTCAGGGAACAACCCCTACCCCAGTCTCTGGCAGAGTAAGGATAACACTTAAAGTTCCCATGGTGTGGAGTCATTCTGGCGCTTTCAGTTTAAGCAGCATTGCTGAATCTATGCCTCATTTCCCAAGAGCATTGTTTATTGGGAGGAACCATAGCAGCAAAAAGCTGTCGGGGTGACCTCCACTGCGGTAGATGAGGGCAGGGAAAGAAAGAGCCATGCCTTAGCCAGATTTCCCTCAAGGGGATTGAATAGAGAGAGAAACTCCGGCACCCTCTAAAGAAACTACAAAAAAACAAAAAACAAAAAAAACCCCATACGAGCCAGCATTGAGATACCGGATGCATGTTAAACCAGGAGACAGCAACAACTGAAAGGAAACCTGTGTCCTGTGACGCAGAATCATTTAATGTCGAGAAGATTGTGCTCACATTCTGTTGTCAATAGTCTATATCAAGGGGTCACGAAGGATAAGAGTTGGGGGAATAAGAACAGACGAATTCCTCTTCCTCGCTCTAAGAATCTGAAACTACTAGTCTAGCCCACACTAATGGAACAGGCAGGGGGTTTACATAGGACAGGTGACTATTTTAATAATTGAAATTGCTTGGAAAGTTATAGATGAGGCTTGGATATCACTAAGGAAATATTCTACTGAAAAAGCAATAGGGCTCAGG